TCCACCCCCAACCTCCTTTCATTATCCACAGATTTCGCATTGCCGAAGGCGCTCAGAGGAGCAAACAAGACTCCGGCCATAAGTGGGTTTAGTTTAATTTGTGGCCAAATGTGAGCACATTTCGTGCAACTCCATGGGTGGAGGGGCAGCTAATTGAGGGGGGTGGGCCATGCCCAGGCAGGGCAACTATGTAGCAAACAAATGGAAATTATTGAATTCCAAATGCGGGAAACTGGAGATGCTATACGGGGAGGAAGACCATGTTAACAGGGATTATTCACTGAGCCGGCAGAAGAATGCCGAGCATAGGATGATATGCAGGCATGGCAACTGGGAATGGAGCCAAGAAGTGGGAATGAGTAATGGTACATAATTGTAATGGTTTTGTCTTCAGGACAATTCAGAACAAATCTCCAAGTGGATGTTACAAGTTGTAACCAACAAGCGAACGTAATCAGAATCAGAAACTGGAATGTAATGAAGCACCTATTTGTAAATGAGAAAACAAAGATAATTTGGTTTGAAATTTGTAAATAACAAATCAATGCAATTATACAATATTGTTTATTTCCAACACAACAATAAACTCAGCTTTTTAAAATTCCAACTTTAATTTCTTACTAACCTAATGTGTTCTCATTTATTGAATTAAAAGGTATAAAATATTTGCTCTTTATTTAAAGGAAGCACTTCAAAAGTGTGACTTAAAAATTTAAGTCTATCCTTGAATATTTCATGATTTCTGTAAGCTTGACAAATGCCACTTGGCCTTTTAACCCCGACTATTGGCTGCAAAAGAGCAACTTATATAAGTCAAAGTCCCCCCAAAATGCCCCCCAAAATACACCGGGTAATAGCAAACATATTTGAGATGTGAAGTGCTCGGCATTGATTACATTCAATTGGAATGGAAACCGAAAACTTGAACGATTTATTTGCCTTAACATTGCAGGTCACGCCCAGTGCACTAACATCCCCGAAAGTAGGAAGGAAAAGCCGGCAAAAGTCAATGGGAAAATGTTGGTGGCTCGTTAAAAAAATTGGAAATTTTCTGATTTATTTGCGCAGCGAGCGCGAAATGAAAAATTGCGTAAGCAGTGGAATTACTTTTGAGCAGAGAGAGAGGAAGAGGGGGGTTAGGGGGTGGGAAGCCATCATTAGTAGATTGGGAGGGGAGAAAGGGGGGAGGGGTGTGCCAGCCAAGTATTTGCACAAATCTAATGAGTATTGGCTGAGGAGCAAAGGATTTCCGTTTTATTATTTTATTTTTTGCCCATTTTCCACTTCTGAGATGACTTTGGGTAAAATGTTTGCAATTTCATGCGCTGGGAAAAACAAACCAGGGAAAAAAGGCTCCCCTTCCAGATAAGAAAGTCGAGCACTTGTCTATGGTCATATCTCGTAGTACCTCCCCCCCTCCCTTGGGGCAGCCATTGCACTCGGGGGGAGTTCTCCACCCACACATATGTGCTTAGGCGGGGGCGTGGCATTGTCTGGCAGCTGCTGCCCAAAAATGCCAAGCACCAGGACCTCGGTTATGAGCTTTTTCCTTGTCGTCCTTGTCTTCGTGGTCTCTTGGTTACTTTATTTGTTTGCAGCTACACTTTCGCCAAGGAGTACTTGAACTATTTGGCCAAGGGGAATGAATCTACTGAGCAAGGACTTCAACTTCTTTGGTTAATACTGGGGAATCCTTTAATATTGACTAGCCTTTTCGGTCTCGAATAAATTACCTTTGGGAACCTCTACCTGTGTGAAATCATTTGATTAATATCGTTTAAATATAAGACAAAATAATAAAACTAAAAAATAATTACATATTTAACTAAACGTGTGGGGAAACATTTACCAAATTTGATCATAATTAAGTTGGTTGATCTTTGATTTCAAAATAATATAGTTATTATATAGTTTCTTTTAAATAAATACAAATAATTAAATAGTAGTGGGTATTAATCCAAAATGAAATTAATCCGAAATGAATTGAAATTTAAAAAAGGATATCAAAGGCTTAGTGTATCATAGCCACAGACTTTCGGTTAGTTGCTTAGTCATTCCTTGAGGGTATTACGAATTCGCTGGGAATTTTGTTTATGTTTTGCTTTGTTAACCATTTTTGGGTGCTTTTACTGTAGTTTCTGTTGTTCTGTTCCATGGCCATTGGCTCCATTATTTTGGCCTGTCTGCCCTCGGGCCAGGACGAAAATATGGGGCCACGGAAGGAGGTTTGGGGGGTATGGGGATTGGGGGATGGGGTTTCGGGAAAGAAACTTTATTCCGGGACTGAGGAGCATAGTGGTTTGTTCGGCTGCGGTTGGTTTTGCTCTGGCGGGAGCCTCGTATTTTATTATCTATATATGTTCGCTCGTGAGCCTGGCAATACATTCAAGATTCGCATTTCGTTTTTATCGCATTTCTTTGCCTCATCTGGCTCGCTGCATTATGTTCGCCTGATTAATTTTTGAGTCGCTTTTCGGATAGGAGCCGAGCTCTTTTGGGCAGGCAGGAGAACCCAGGATATGGTTACTTTCCCACGCATTCACTCCTCTGGAACCCTTTTCCTTTTTTGGCCATCTCCTTAATTGCAGATTTTTGCCTTAAATGTTGCGGTTATTATGTGCTGTGCGCCGTTGTTTGTTGTTGTTTGTCTTGGTTTGTTGGTGTTCTGGTTTGTTGGCTGCGCTTATTAATTGTGTAATTTAGTTTTGGGTGTTGCCTGTTTGCCTGCTTGCCGCATTCGTGATAGCCAGGCCAATTACGGCTGGCAGGAGGCCAAAAGTTGTGGCAACTTAGTGGAGAGTTTACTTCTCAGTTTTGTAGCTTCCATGAAAATAGTGATAAAGATTAAGCGGTTAACCGGCGTAAATTGATAGTAAAGAAGTTTAGGGGACAATGAATTGTTAGCTTTAAAAGTAAAGTTAAACTTACCAAATTTTCCCTTCTTTAAATTAAACAATCTCAACGCCCTTTACAGTCCACTCTAAATGTTTTCCTCATTACATAATGTTCCTGCTATCGGCATCCCTCAGAATGTTTACCCTCTTCAGTTTGCCACTCAAGGGCACAAACCTCAAACACTCGGATCGTTTACACTCCCCTCCGTGTTTGCTGTCCCCATTTGGTTGGCAAAATTATTGAATTTTTCGCCTAATTTACTGCGTTTACTTCTTTTTATATTCATAAGGCGAATACTTTATGTGCTCGCCAACGTTGCGTATACGTAACGTAATTTATGAAGCACAATCTTGAAGGAGGAGAAGGGCACCTCGGTGTGCTATAAAACTTTGCCCAGCAAGTCAGCAATCTCTGGAGCGAGAAGTTCATTCTTCCCTCCAGATTTGAGTTCGACTTTTCCGTCGCTTAGGGGGCAGCTCTTCAATTTGTTTGTCGTTGTTGTCGCGTCTTAAATTGAATTCGGGCGGAAAACTTCTTCCACTTCCATCTCCTCTGGCTGATGACAAGTTTGTATCACCATCACCCTACCTACAATGTATGTTTGTGTTTGTTTTGCCTGGCTTTGGGAGTTTTAATTTAGTAATATCGATAAGGCAGTACCTACAAGTTGTCAGGAGTGTTACATAAACGAGTTTCTGTTGCTGATGCAGGGCAAACACTTTGCTTATTAAGTGCCTCTGCACTTTGTTCGCCTTCCAGACAGAACTAAAAAAAAAAGAGAGTAAAGAAGTGGCAAAAAACGAGGAGAAAACGTTAAAACCAATTCTCATTCCCATGCCGGGCATAAGGCACGCACTCGTCAGGCTGCAGGCTTTGGGTATAAAAAAATATACGAGAACTGAAAAACCCGAAACTTGTTTAACAGCATTTTTCCCTGTCTGCTCCGCTCCCGTTCCGCTGCTCCTCTTCCCCTCCTCCCACACCATCCTCGAAAAGGAGGCGGACCTGAACCATAGATGGACTGGACATTGCCCTGTTATACAAAGGAGGTGATCAATCGATCGTTAGATGGCATTGGATCGTTTATAAAAAGGGAGATGAAGAGAGGAGAAATAAAGGTAGTGATTATCGATCTCTTGAAAAGGTTTTCAAGTCCAATAAAATCTTAGTAGCTCTAATAAAAATGATATTTACGTGGTTCTCAGCTTTTATAGATTATAAATAAATTTTAAATAATTTGTATATTTTTTATGACACCATCTTCCCATCTCGTATACCCTAACGTATACCCTGCTTGAAACCCGCATATTAAAAAGCCAAAAAAGGGAGCGAAAAAAAACGAGTTGGGTATCAAGACAAATGCGTACAACAACAAGACGATAACATGGCACATAACAAGCCCATATGAGTTATAAAGCGCAGCTTATAGAACTCCGTAGACACCCCTGCCAATGCATCCCCCGCCCCCTTGAAAGTCCTCGCGAAACCCCGCAAACCAAATAAACGCATTGTGTTTCGGTATTTTTTCGAGATCTCTTTCTCTTTCTGTTTTTGTTTCGCTTTCTGTTTTATTTCAGCTGGGTTTCTGTTTGCTGATGTTTTCGCATCTGCAGCCGATGCGTCGTATAAATGCATATTGGTGTCGTCGTCGCCGCTGTCCCGCATTTGCCGTCTCATTCGCTCACTGTCGCCCTCCCGCTTGCACTTGCACTTCCATTTCCACTAGCCAAATACGGCGAAATGGCCAACAGGAATAACAATAGCAACAATGAAGAACGAGACCTGAGAACGGAGATCTGGGCTTATGGGTTTTTCATGTAGTTGGTGATTTTTCGCCGGAAAGCAACAACATGAAAATGTGAAAACAAAAGCATTACGAATTAAAAGTTTACGACCCCCTTTAGCCGAAACCAAAGTTTTATGTTATTATATGGCATAAGAGTTGTGTAATGGGATTTTTACTGATTTGCTGATTGACAATGTCATCGAGAGTGGATTGGATCAACTGCGTTAAAGCTTCCTTGATTCTGCGATTCGCTATATTATATTTATTGACTGATGTATACGTTCTTTGTAATAAAAACCAATATTCTTTCTACTTTTAGCTCTCATGGACTCGTATTCCACTGTATAAACTTAATTGGCTCGAACACACCAATTACATTTAATAAAAGGTAAGCAGAATACATTATTTTTAATTTTTCTTTCTTTTTATTAAGTCTTTACCGATTAAGGGTATCCTTGTAAGCGTTTACATTAAAACCCTTTATTACTCCTCTGTAAGCCAAAGGAAAACAACCCCTTCGTCATGTCAGCTGTCAACATTGACGTCCATTTTGCATTTTCATTTCCGTTTCCCTTCCATAGTTGGTTTACTCGCCTTTTTTCGAGTGTCATTTCAGGAGAATTGTTGGCCGAGAAGAGGGAGCGGAAAATAAATATAAACATAATTTTTAATTGCACCCAGTGGGAGAGTAAAGTTGCCAAAAAGACGCACTCAGGGAAAAAATCAAGTATTTCGTGCTTGAATCTAGCATTTTGAGTGTCAAAAGTGAGCCAAGCAACGAAAATCTGATCTTGAGAACATAATACTGCTTTCAAGAACAAATTTTCAAGACAGAAAATACTTGATTTTAGAACGATTTAAAAACGCTGATATCTAAAATTAAGAATGAATTATTCTGAAATCTAGACATATTTGTACTTGAAATAATTAAGTGCAGGCTTGAATTAAGAACGTATAGTTCTTAATCTTAGTAAGATATATTCTAGAAGTAATATTATAAGTACTGAATTCAAGAATATTAAAATGTTATATTATGCCCCATTAATTCTTACAACAAATCAAAAAAGTTCTTGAAACAAGATATATTAAAATTTCAAAATCGTTTATATTTTTTGTATTTATTGTTTTGGTATATTTTTTAAAAAAATTTTTATAAACCTTGTATATGTATTTAAGTATAACATACGATTGTGTTTATTGTTTATTGTATGAGTGCAAAGGAAAAGTAATAAGTTCACTAATGTTAACAGTACTAACGTTGTCGGATGGATAGCCTATCTCGTAGGAATAAAAGTGTTTGTCTAAGCTTTAAATCAATTTGATTAGAACTAACAAAACTTAAAATTTGAAATAATTTTACATTAGGGTTTTGGTTGGCTCTCCTGCGCGTCCAATATTGTGGCCTTCCGCGTTAATTTTCCATTCACATTCCTGAGGGAAGAGAACAGCGTTCAGCAATGTGACGATTATGAAGTCCTGGGCATCTGCAGTATTGGAATAGTGAATTAGAATTAGAATTAGAATTAGGAATAGTAGAGGAGTTTCTTCGTATAGCTTTGCCTTTTTGAGTTTCATTAAGGACTTCAATCTTTTACTTCAAAATTTAAAATATTTACTAAAATTATATTTACACATATAAAGTCATTCACGTACCTCAGAATTCCTCCATAGGTAGAGTTTTTGTCTAAACTCCTTGCGCAGACCTAATGGCGCAACTGCTTTTTTGATTCCGTCGTCGTACATGTATTGCTTGTGCCGCTAAAATTATGCACAAAAATATTTTAATTTATGTAGATAAGTAAAGTAAAAGAAAAGAATAATTTGTTGGCTATAAGCACGCTAAACTCATTAAAAACAATTTTCGTAAGATTATGAGATATTAGCTAATAACTGTTTTTGGCAATTAATATTAAAAACTGTTTTTCTAAGGAATTTAGCGTATGTCAGTGTGATCCGCATATTTAGTTGATATCGACATACATACATATGTACATATCGACAAAAAGTTTAAAAAAAGCGCAAATTTACCCGGTATTACTTTCAATGCAAATGCATACATTTAAATGTACATACATACATATTTAAATACACACATACTTGTGTACATCTATGAGAGACTGCAGGTGTCGGTACAGAAATAATCATCAATTATAATAATTCCGATTATAATCGGAAATTTCTAATGAAAGTAATACCACGAATATTGACCGATTTTTTAAACTCTGTTCCGATATGTACATTTGTGTATATACATACATTTTATTAGAATACATTTCTTACATATGTATGTACATACATATGTGCCCTACCGCCGCAACGCCGGCTTTTAAATCATTCACTCATTTTTAAACTTTTGTATCATTAAACTTGAAACATATTTTAAATTTATTTATTTTATATTTGAAGGAAAAGGAAGTTAATAACAATAATGTGAATGCCGGCGTTGTGGCGCCAGGGCACACACATATGTACATATATACGGAACTGCACGCGTCTGCTTGAATAGGAAAACATACATACATATGTACATTTTAGAAAAAAACGCGCACTTTGCTTACCTTTGAGATACGTGTAAACTTCTTCTATTTCCAACTTTTTCAACAGTTCGTGAAGATCATCATTACAGTCTTCTTCACTCATTTTACCGATCGCGATAAATTTATTTTGTTATTTAACTTAAAAACTTCACTTTTCTTCATTTAACACGTTGCAACCGAACATTCGAGTAAGTCTTAGAGTGACCGTCCGAATTATTTATAAAAAACCGAAAAATGAGAAAAATTCCTAAAGCTACGGTTAGACGGTCACACTATGTAAACAAAATTATCAAAGGGGGCCAAGAAAGTATTTATATTTCGATTTTAATTTATTGAATGGGTTTTAATTGAATGGCATAGTAGAATGGGATAGTAGCAATAATTTTATTATTTGAATTTCTGTACACATTTCAAGTTTTTAGTAATTTCTTACCTTGCAAATACATAATTGGCAAAATAAATAAAATAATAATAATTATAAAAATTAATAATGTTGTTTAGTAGTATTTTCCGTTATTACCTTTACTTTATTTATTTAACGAGAACTTCTGTTACATAACACGCATATATGGCAATCACTTCTGAACTGGAATTAAGTTTGATTCAGTCTCAAAGTAAATACTTTTAAACTCAATTTAAGTATTTTTGTATTGAGTTTGAGAATATTTGTGCTTGATTGGCATTTAAGCTTGAATCGTGCTCAATTCAAGAACTTTCAGTACGAAACGTTCTTAAAATTTTAAGTATGAAATCGTTCTTAAATCAAGACTGATTTTGCTTGTTTCCAGCACGGTGTTTTTTTCTGAGTGCGGTTAGATGTTTGTTAGCTGAACTCCCTTCGCCCATCTTTTTCACCCTCATTTTGCCAGGGGAACAATTAATTCGAATGCAGACTGGGGAAATTTTGCGTTTGCATGGATTTTCATGGAAACTCCGTAGAAAACGAAGCGATTATGCGGAGAATTTCATGAATTCTTATACCACCGAATGAAAATGTATTATTATATTTTTTCCTCTTCGGTTCCTTTCCTTATAAAGTTTTCTTTTTTAATGGGAATAATAATACAACTTTTGGGGGTCTGGGCTACGCATAAACCCCTTATTATAACTTCGGACCACTGACAGCTGCTACCGAGTTTGACATTTGTATTTTACCGTTACAAGCTTGCGGTTGCCGCTAGGGTTGCCACTCATTAGTAGCAAACAAAATGGTTTGAAGGTTGCAAAAGGCTGTTATAAAAGCGAATGCTCACTTTGAACCTATTTAAATTTTAAATGTGCCACCGCAAGATGCCACACTCCCTCCCTCTGAAAAAAGCCCCCATTTTGCATAGCTAAGTGTTGAAAAGTTTTCGCTGAGACTGTGCCGAGATTGGTACACAATGAAAAGTGATTACACACTCGCCGTTTCGCTCTCCCCTCTTTGGGCCTCGTTAAAGTAATAAAAAATAAACTTTGGCAATTAATTTAATTTATGCGGTATTTAATGTGCACACAATGCACGCGGCACGCCTCTAAGCAAATATTGGCCAAGAGCCCAGTTCAATTTAAGAGAAAAGGAAACTAACGAATTTTCAGGTCGGGTAGGGAATATTCGGTTTTATTGTTACTAAAATTTGAGGAACGAGCAATACGCTCGTATAAGATGTGTGCGGTTGGAACCTTGCCTCATCATCGTCCTCATCACCATTTTGTGGTTAATGACTTGGGATTCATATCTTTATTAGAGTGTGAGGATATAACCACAAAAGGGTTTCAGAACGTGCTTACAAAGACAATCAAGATTACGGATTCATTACACTAGATGGCTAGAAACTGGAACGAAAGTAGAAGGAATACTCTTAGTAATTCCAACTTGTGGTTTTTTTTATGACGATGAATCTTTTGTCCCTTTTTATTAAAGTAACCGATATTATATTTTTCTGAAAGCCATTGATTTTTAATTAATAAAGTAATAAAGTCAAACATCAAATGAATGTACAGTTATTTTTATGACTCCTTTGAATTCTCTTCGCTCTATTGATTTCTCAATAATTACTCACTCGGAAATGTAGCCAAATTTGTATTAACTTCTCGTTTTTTTGCCATGCTGTCAACACATTTAATTTGTGATTCCCCCAACGCGTAGCTGTCCTTTGCCTTTATATTTCTCCTCGCTTTTCATACATTTTCCTTTAAGAAACGTGACTTCGGATTTGCTACCAAAAAAATATAAAAATAAAGAACTTTTTATCTCCGTCTCCTTTATTCCTTTCTTTTTTTAATTTTATGAAGCAATGTTCATGTCTCTGCCGAAATATTTCATGACAAGGATTATTACGCAGGCGATATATGCGTGATAGGAAGCCAGGGAGGGAGCACCGACATTAATCATTGCTCAACTTTATAATTTTGTCAGGGCTTACCCGACCCTATCCTTCCCTCCCCCTCCCATCCACATCCGTATTTTCCACTCTGTATGCAACTACAATTTTTCATACAAAATGATGTCATTAAACAAAGAACAGAAACGAACCGACGACAATAATGAGCCGGAGCTGTGAGCCGAGTCTGGGGATTGGCAAGGGAACTGTTGGGGGAGTGGAGGGCATGGAAAGGCAGGAAAATCGTGCGACTAAATCCCAAAACAATTTATATGAACCAACCGAAAGAGAGAGTCAGAGATGAAGAAAAGAGACAGTCAACGAGTGAGAAAGTGAAAAGTGACATAAACGCGGTAATACGAGGGAGAGCCCACATAATGAAGCGAACGCGACTTGTTAGTCGCTCTTGGAGTTCGCTGGATAAAGCCCAGCCTGCTCTACAGTCCCCGATCCGCTCCTGGTTCTTTTCCTCGTTTTACTCCCTTTTC